TAATAGCAACATTTGAAGATTTGACAAAAAATTGGATGGAAATCAAAAAATGTTAAGTGTTCCTCAAAATTACTAGTGTTTTTTTCGTAAACAATCGAATTTTTGTCGACTTACATGCAAAATTTCACTCATTTTAAGGGATGGAAGCAAAAGCATCGTTTAAGTGCTTGTATGATTTTATTTCATAGTATATTTGTTGTTTTTTCTGCTGGGCAATAGCAAGCGACGTCAAAAAAGTTTGACAAACAAATCTCATGTGTCATACGCGCTTCAGAGAAATGTAATTAAATAAATTAGCGAATTTGGTACATTCTAAAGAGATGTTAATACATGTAAGCCCAATAAATTTCTTTATTAAGTCAGTCAGCTTTCAACGGAACTATTAGCAATCACTTAGGCTCATAATATTAACTGCAGAATTTTAGTAGGTAAAGAATAGCAATTTATTTTTTTTTGATAAGATTAACTTTTTAAGTTTTTGAAGAACTTTAATTAACTACAAACCACTTATCTAGGTTTCCTTAATACAGAAGCGAACATTATGAAATAACAAGTACTTGGATTTTTTAAAAGGAAATTTAACTTAATTACTAGTAATTCGATCCGTTTAAGAGAAATATCTTCCGAAAAAAAAGTAGCTTGCACAAAAAATGGAATATATGGGATAACCAACATTGTTAACAGTTAAGAGAGATATCAGGGCATAGAAATGTCGAGATTTCACTGTTAACTAATAAGTTAACAGTACAACATAGAGAATATTTGAATATATAAAAATATAATTTTATATGAGACTATACTTTGTAATGTATTAATAAAATTTAAAAATGATTATTTTTAATGTATTTTGCAATTAAATTACAGCTTAAAAATGATATAATTTTACTTAAACGAGCTTAACGAAAGCCGCGTTAATTTTTACTTTAAACTTGTATAAAAACACTGAATAACAAGTAATTTTCAGTACGTAATGATGTGTTAATTAATATGTCAATACAAGTAAGATACCTCGTATAGATGGTTTTAATATCTATTCAATAATATATTAAGCATTAAGTATCAATTAACACTCTCAGAGTAGCAGCAATGCAAATAAGTGCTATAAAACAAGCACACGTGTGAAGTGTTACATCTCGAAATAATTGTACAATCAAACATTTTACATAAATTAATTATAAAAAAAATGTTTAAATTATTTTCTAAATAAACATTTCAAATAAAAATCTAAACAAATGAAAGGAATGCACAAAATACTCGTATTAAATTTTGTTTGGACAAAGCATCGCTTGAGTTATGGGCAGTCGTTGCCGTATTTCATTATTAAATTACAGCGGCTTCAGTGGCTTCAGCGGTTTGTGGCGCTGTTGGCTGCGGTTAGACCTGCTACTGTTTTACATGCGCGGCTTGTTTTGACAGTTTCGGATCTAATGATTCATTAAGAGGTGTTGAGCGCACTCTTGTGTGTAGACACCCCGATTTGATATATATTTGCATGTGAATTTTTTGACAAAAAATGCCGGAAGAATTGCTGCAATATGAATTAAGTGTGGCGAGGTAAATCGAATTATTATGAACTCAAGTGAGGCCATTTTCAGAGAAAATAACATTGAATTTTAAATAATAATAAAAAAACAGTTCTAAGGTAAATAAGATAATTTTGTGAACTATCAATTAATAAAAGGTGTAAAACTAATATAAGCTATTAAAATATAATAAAAACTATAAACAAATAATATAGTCAGCCGTTAATAGTATTCTTATTAAAAAGTTAATATTTTGTGGTATTTTTTATATTTTAATAAAATACAAATAACTATCGACATTATTTTAATTTAATTCACAATATTTGCGAATTAAACCTCTTCACTTCACCCATGAATTCAGTAATTGATTAACTTAGTTCAAATAAATATCTTAATACAAACAACAGCCAAAATGACAACTTACGGCACTAATAATTATAAAAAAATAAACGATGAAGAAAGAAGAAATTTCTTGAATTTACACTGGTTGTTTATATGTCGTCTGACAGTTGTTAACCAGTGTTAAATGACTTCAAGTTTTCTCTGATTCTGAAAGAAAGCTCAAATAATTCCAGCTTAAAAAAAAAAGAAAACATTTACTTGTTTGAATTACCAACCAATCAGTATTCTACACTCAACCGTGTGAGAACATAATGGCTGACCAAATGGGTAGTCATCAGAACTGTTCTCAATTACTCTCTCTTCTTCAGAGAGGAGCTAAAAAAGTAGATATTTAGATGACGAAAAAGTTTATGGATCTTGGTTATGTTGAATGTAGTTATGATCAAAGGTTGATTTCTTACTTAATCATATGTCGTTTCGAGTTTTCAAAGCTGAGTTACTCACTTTATACTTTGTAAGAACTTCTTTGCATAATATTTATTTCAGACTAAAAATTCATTTAAGTGTTAACTGGGAGAGAGCAGACAGGGAGTAGCGAATCAATTTTCACTTCTCAAAGCTCTTTATGCTATAATATATAAAGAATCGATTGTAGGACAAATTAATCTTCGTTTGATTTATATAAATGACGTTTATATACTAATGCTATACATATATATATCTTTTTTTAAACTGACCACATAATGATCCATAATAATGTGTGTTTCCCACACATTGGCATATGGAAACTAAAAAAAATACAATAATTCGGGCAAATGACTACGTTCTCGTTTTTCTTTCCTATCAAATGTCTTATTGTATCGAGAAAGTACACACCAGTTATTTAAGTACCACGTTGATAACACAACTGATTGTTCCAATCATTCTTTTCATCTTATTAGTGCATTTAAAACTTGTTGCGGATTCTGTCCATAAGTTGAGAAGCCCAGTAAACTTCATATCGCCATGTGTTAATGACCATATGTCATTTGTTTATTTATTATTATGCGATCATATGGTTTGGTATTGAATATGAAGACTCATATCCTCTTGTTTTCGTTCACATTAATATTTATAAAGAAGGAAGAGTACTATTTTAATTGTTTCCAGTCATTGAGACCAAAGCGATCTCTCCTGTTTAATATTTTAGATATAAATTTGTCTCCACTACAAAGTTTTTTATCATTTATTCGTAAACTCAGGCAATACAGAAATTTTTTAACTATTATTAATGTGTATAAAGTATATTAATATCTTATTTATTTGTTTCCTTATTTATTTGATTAATGCCTATAAATAGCCACTAGCTTCAATAAGTTTTTCATATATAGAGCAATAACTCTCCAATCATTCTTTATTGAACAACCGGATAAATCATGCATCACATCTCAGACGAATTAACGAATCAGCTTTTCCAGAAGAACTATCATCAGAATCCTATCCTTATTTGTCTAGCACAAGGATACATCAAAGTGTATCAATGATAGTCTAATTAATAGTTAACAAAAAAATTACATTATATTCTAACTACTCGCTAATCTGGGTTTAGAAATATCTAAGATAAAAAACTGGTCATTAACGACAATACACGATAACAACAAAATTTAATATCATTTGCGTTTCACAACAAAATTGATGTTATCGATATAAGACGATCACATGCGAACTACTCTTAACTACTTATCAATAATTTTTCTCTATCTACCCATCTATATCTATAGCTAAAAAGCTCTTATCTTAAATAATGCTCCTGATAATGCTTTGATAATTAACTTGTTATCTAAGTTAGTTATCAATCAAAAAACTAGTATAGGAGACTTTGGACTACAAATGTTTGTTAGTAGACGTCCAATATATAAATATGCACATTATTACTTTAAAATATTTGGATAAAAATAATAGTAATAATAATAATTCTAAATAAGATTGTATTGTACAGATATAGTTTTGTGGTCTTTCCTTTATGAAGAGTCAAATCAACCCCAAATAATGTCCCCAAATCCACTCTGTTTTTTATATTTATTAATTAATATAGCATTACCTACAGTAGTTTAGTGTTAAAACGATATTTGCTAAGCAAGAAAGTTGTGAACCAGAAGAGTGAGTGCAAAATGTCGACAGTGTTATTGTTCGGCACTTGCTAGACGATTTTATACAACCCATAATCTTCTTGTCTGAAGTGTCTTTTCGACATCACCAAAATGTGCATCAAGTATACTTATTTGTCGAAATAAAAATACCTTTCCTTAAAGTCGATTAGTGTATTTAAAAGATATGGTAGCAGATCTGCGTTTCTAATAAGATGGATTGTCACTTAATTATTTTCCTTAAATTTTCGACGATAAGCCACGAAGATTATAAAATATTTTTCATATTTCAATTTCGATATTATAAATTGAGTGTGTCGGTGCTATGTCAATAATAAAAAAAAAAAACTAATAATATTTAAATGAAAATTTGATAGCAACTAAAGCAAAAGGCTTTTATTTGTAGATAGTCTCTATATATTCTCTATATATATAGCACTAGCAGTTTTCACACTTTTAATTATCTGTAACATCATAACTTCTAGAACAAATAACATTTATTATAATTATAAAAAATATTATTGACGACTACAAAAGTGAAATACTTTGTATCTCGTAAACAAGCACGTGAATGTCATGTAATCTGTCTGTTTTAAAAATATTTTCATAAAATTTTGATTTCAACTGAATTGTAGAGATACAATCACTAATTTATATGCAAATATTAAAAATAATACTGGGATATATTTAAATTTTTCCTACACCCACTTGAAACCAGATTTGTAGGCTTGATGGCTGACATTGAAAATATATCTGTTCCGGCATGTGCCAAATACCGACGAGGGCACAAAGCACTTAAATATTGTCAATTATAAAAAAAAAAATCACAAACCTGCAAGTATAAAGACGACTGCAAAACAATAAAAATTAAATCAGATGAATTTCTCAAACTTATCATTTTTTATCTGATTTACTGATAAGCCCCAAGAAATGTTTGCAAAAGTGGAAAAAAAAAAACAATTTGCAATTTACAAGCTTGCAGTTTACTATTCAGCGTTCACTCGGACGTATGAGTGACATTGTTTCCGACTGTGTATATATGGAGACGCGTAGAACTGCTCGTGTAGATCGGTAACTGCTTATAGATTTGCTGGTATGTGTGAAAATTGTCACCAGCTGGAACAAAGCCGCTCTTAGTATCTGAAATGAGCTACTGCTTTGGCGCTGCTGTGCAGTCATTCGCGCGGCATGGAGTCCATCTCTCGTCTATTTTGCTGATCGCATCGAAACCGATCATGTCAATTATTCGCGTTTGTGCGCTGTCCGGAAAGGTCGTGCCAAAACTTAACCAAACGAAATCTATGCGAAATAAGCGCGTAAGTGTGGCAAGTGCTGAGTGAGAGTTCAACAACCAAAATGACAACAGAAGCTTAGAAGCTTCAATCAAAGTGCTTCCGATATAATAAAAATAAAATAATAAAGAAATTTTTTTTAAATGCAAGTTTATGTTTTTAATATCGAAGAGCATTTGGTTCAGTTCGGTTTAAAATATCTAAATTCCATACAGTATTTTGAAGCACTTAAGTACATATATTATTACTGTACACATAAAAGTATTATTGCCATTATTGCAAAAGTGTTAATTTTAATCAAAAGCAGTAAAAATACTTAATATAATAGTATTAAATAATTTTCTTTCCATATATATATGGAATATAAAAATTAAACAAGAATGTGTTAATAGTTCCAAATATAATTTCAGGAGCACAGTTCGAACAGCTGAGACCTTCAGCTTAAATAACGTGGGTAAACAATACATAGCAATATATATAAGAACTGGAATAAAACATGTTTAAAAAATTTTCCAGAAAAATCTAAGAAATAGCAGTTCAAAATCTATTAACATGTGTTGATACTAATTTCTAGGCAGCTAATTTAATTTAGAATTGGTTGCCGTGACTTTAGGAAATTTCTTTTTTGAAGTTGTAAAATTATTATTAATATGAAATTTACAAAAATATTTTATTTGATTGATTTTTAACATCCGTTTTGATGAAAGAAATTAAATTCTTAATATAAATTGAATATTGAATATTATATTCAATAGAGAGGTATTCCAAACAGTATTAAATTACAACAAAACTTTATTATTTTATTAAGAGGTTTTTCGAACAGTAGTGAACTACAACAACAAGAATTTATTTTATATTATTTTAATTAGTTGAATTTTTGGCTGACCATACAGCTGTTTTGAGTATTGCCAAATACCCATCATCAGAGGACTTGTAATTATTCCTTATAATAACATTTTAATTTTATTATTATAAAGTTTAATATGTAAATGAATTCAATAAAATTTTCTTCAACTGATCTTTAATAATTTTCTGTTATGAAAAACTCAAAAAATCAAACGATAATAAATTTCTTCAACTCCTAAATCTTCAAGATCTAAGCATATTTAGTGATATATAAGTCTTCATATAGAAATATTCATAAACTCAATAAAAACTCAAAAAAAAAAGACTAGATTCTCTGAATCTGAATTCAAAAATTGAGTTTCGAGGTTCTTTGAAATAATTTTGCAGGAATAAATAAAATAAATTATTCAACATTGAAGATATTTCGTCTAAAGTTCTTTAATAAGAAAAAAAATTTTACTTAATGGTAATATGACTTTATTTTGTAATATAATTTTCTTCAACTTCAATATATCAATATTAACGATCTTTCAATTTCAAATGTCATCTCAGTAGTGGAAAGTTCACAGAACACACTTTAACAGTATCTATTAGCTTTTAGTCTTCTGAAAATCATTTTTCATAAAACCACTTTTTGAGGTATGAAAATAGGCAGACATATAGGCAGAAAAAGACTCGGCGTAGTAACAATTCGTAATATAATTGAGTGATTTTACCGATTGGTTTTGAGTTGTATGAACATTATTTAGTTGGGCATTACAGGCACAAGTCGTCCTTGGGCGTGCCCAGAAGCCTCCTTCAATTAGTTCGATTAGTGGCTTGCAGTTGCTATTTGGTAGAGCCGAGTGCCTTCACATTGATGTTCATCTGGTCTTTCTGCCGTCCTCAGCTGCGTTTTCGACCAGCGGATATCGTACCAAACATCTTTATAGTCGGAGACTTTTTTTACCATCGTACGACATAACTAAGGTACGAAGCCGCTGAAATTTTGTGCGCTTAACTCTGTCAATATTGGGGTAGAGTTCATTTAGCTCATCGCTTCATCTAATTCTATACACGTTGCCAAGGCGTAAAGGATCATAATCCTTTGAAGAGTTTTTTCTGGAATGCTCATAATACTTTCTCATCACTGTCAGTTATTCTCTAAGCTTTTGTTTTTCTAAATTTGATATAAAAATATTATTTCGCGATTTCTGTTTGTTGAGAAAGAGGGCTTTGCTTTTCAATTATCTAGTTAGTCCGTAGTAATATTTGTTGGAAAAAGTGAAACTTCGTTGACACGTCAAATCGAAATGATTTTAACTTAGAGAATAACTTGACAGATTGAAATAAAATGGTTCTATTCTTATAAAACATGAATATTAAAATGATGTCGAAAACTTAGTGACAAGTATGTTGTTGCTATTGTATTTAATAATATATATAAGTATATAATGCATACATATTTTACACTAAACAGTGTAAATACTCATTAATACTCATTTTAATCTATACTTCTCAATACTCAATCTATTAATCTATAGTACTCATTTTACTCATTTTATGTCTTAATACTCATTTTTTTCTTAAGTTACTTTATGTTGATATATTAATAAAATCGATTATTTAATATATAATTTTATAATTTTAATTTTTGTATAATGCTTATTTCTCTTCAATTACTAAATTACATTATATAAATAATTATTAGAAGATAACTTTGGGGGCATTCAGAAAGGTACACGATTTGATCTATTGAGATATAAATCATTTATTACTTGTCCTCACTATGTGCCTACCAGTTGTCACCTTCGTCTTGTCACCTTCTTATTTCTGTTGTGGTTAATTGGTGAAGAACGCATATTTTATTCAAATAGCTTATGTGAACAAAATCATTTAATCATCGTTAATTTATATATAGTAATATTATAGTCAATGCCCCTCTAATGAGAAATAATTTGGAAATTTTTTTGAGATGCCTCACAAAGATTTGTAGTGGGTCCTTGTAAACAGTAATCTACAGCAGTAATCTGCTGACGGATTATAAAAAATCTATATACTAGTGAATTAAACACTCTCTTCAATAAGTTTTACTAACTATGAGAAAAATGAGGAAAGTACTACATATCTGCTTAGCGTATGCGCTATTAGACCCTTAATGTCTTATATCTGGAAGTATTTAAATAATATAAAATCGAGTTATTTTCTAATGAGTCTGGTGTGCATGATTTGAAATTCATTTCGAAAGGTGACAATCAATGGACCAAAAGCAATTGTAGGATATTAAATTTAAACTGTCTATCAACTATTGTTGTTATATCCCGGAAGGAACGGCAATTGGATAAGTTTAACTCTGCAGAATCTTAATTCGTCACCATGCATTGTTAGGCTTTTTATTAATGATAGTATGTTTTGGGGTTTGTTGTTCCACTATATATAGAGAGGCATAACAATTCTGTCTAAGTAGCGAATCTTTTGCCTACCGTGAGCTGGACATACATAAAGAATGCAGACATTCTTCCAACAACTCACTAAAAATTTTATATTTACTTTTAAATCGTTGGTATTACAGTTACGCATTAAATAACGTTCAATATAGAATGGGTTTGTTAAATGCAATAGAAGCAGCTTTTGAGAACTAAAGATCTTGAAGCAAAATTAGAGTAACTCAATTTGTTTTAATAATGGAGGGTATGACATTGTAATGTTTGTTGGTTATAATCTAAGAAATTTTCTAGCACTGTTAATATTTTACTAGTATTACCTTTACTTACAGTTAAAGGTACATCTAATAGAATCTGTGTTCTATGTCAGGTATATGTATGTATAAAATCATAGAAGTCTATCCAAAAATAATATTACACATTGTTGGCTCTCTATCTGCTTAAAGTTCTTATATGCTTTATATATAGAAACATATTAAGCAGTTGCTTTTTAATAAATTTGTTTTTTAATTACTATTATTATTAATTTTTTTTATTTTAGCCTCCATAAACATTGCTAATATACGGTGATTAATACTATAAGTAGTAACATACACACAAATACACGCTATGAAGTTCAACTTTATGAAAAGCAATTCCACAGAAAGTGAGACTAAGTCCTCACCCACCTCGGAAACATCTGCAACAGAACCGCTGGCACCGCAATATTTGCGTCAAATCACAATTGAAAATGATCCAGATTCACTTGATAGTGTCATCAATAATCCACAATCATATCCCATCACAATAGTTCCGAACAGGCCGAATACATTCTATGGATTCTCACCCAGCGGAAAAGTATATAATCGGCAGTCAAGCTGCAGGTATGTGTATCTTACGATTTAAATGTGTTGGATTGGAACACGTGATTTATGAAGTTATTTTTAATATTTTGAATTTTTTAATTTAAAAACGAACTAATTTTAAAAATCAATATAACAATAAATCAATAAAA